TTTTATTAAGATAATTGATTCAAAATCGAAATTGAAGCAAATTTTATTTAAAACATTTTTTGATAGAAACAATAATTATTGAGATAATTAATTTTTATAGCATACTATTCAGAGGGAAATTAATATTTCAAGTTAGCAAAAAATGTTATTAACAAACACTGTTCCTGAAGTAATTCTAAACAAATATTGTTAATAAAATATTTTGATTTGATCTATAATTAAGAACATAACCTCAAAAAAAATGTTGTATATATATTTTTATACATTTTTTTATTGAGAAAATCGTTTTATAATTTAATTTAGAACAACGTTTGTATGAAATTTTCTGCTGAGAACGAGTGGAGGGGGGAAATCGTATTGTTTTGTTACAAAAGTTCCGTGCCCTACTCATAAGGTAAACCCCTTACTCCTTCGTCGTACACCACAAGATGGCGCCAGGCTAAATTTTTAGGTTAGGTTTTTAATTTTTAGCAGAACTCCACCCCACCACTAAATAGCGCGAAATTTTTAAACTTATTTAATTACTTTTTGAAGAAGTCACCGGATCTAGTTACTTTTCCAATACCAACCTAATTTTTCTCCCCCAAGTTTAGGTTGGCTCCCTATACTTATAACATTGCAGCGTGACGTCACAGGGGGAGCAATTTCCGATTCAAAACTCTCATTATTATAGTACTATTATTTTTAATTAAATCCACAATCTTCTTCTTCTCCAGCATTAAAAACTCATTACTTTTTATAGAGCGTCCTTTAACTCAAAGACTAAACAACAAATGTTTAGTTTTCATTTATTTTTTGCTTGGTTGCTACGACTCTCCAAGGAAATTAATTCAGTTCAATGTCAACAAAAATTCTTCGTTTTCATTGGTTGATAATAAACGGTGTGACCTGCAAAAGTAGTTATTGGGGTAGGTTCTTAAAATAATACAAAAATTTTAAATAATTTTTTTAATACACCTTATTAATAATAAAGATAATTAACAAATACAAATGAAAATAAATGCCAAATAATAAAACAATAATATGTGTAAGCGCAAAACTAATCGATTAATTAAGATTTAATCTTATTTCGTTTTTTTCCTCAGAATGTTCAATTTCCAAATTAAAGAAACCCTTTATCAAATCATCCAGTTCATCAGGTACATCGGGATAACTAATTATTTCTCCATCCTTTCGATACTCGCTCCACCTCAACATCAACGCCGAATATTTCGCCATATTATCGTAGTCTTCTAGTTCTGTATAAACGTGTATAATTCCTCTATAATCGTATTCTAAACCCGAATAAGTTGGCCCGAATAAATTCAAACTAATATTTATCGAACGTAAATATAATTTTTCCGCATCGGAATATCGTTTCATGTGATAATTATATAACGAAGCTAAATGACCGATGCTTAAACCGACCTCGAAATCATCCGGACCTAATAATTTCTCTTTAATTTCGATCGCTTTTAAATGCATTTCTTCGGCTTCTTGAAATAACATCATCGTTTGATACAATCGGCCTAAATTCCCGTAATGTTTTGCAGTTTGAACGTTGTATTCACCGAAAGATTTTTGCCAAATTTCTAACGCCGATTTATGTAATTCTTCAGCTTCGGCTAAATATTCCCTTTGATGTCCGTAACTGTTTGATTGTCGCATATCCAACGCAATCTCCTCTAAAATTAACGCTTTCACCTTTTTGGCTGAAGCCAACAAGATGTGATCGTTTGGTAACAATTTTTCCATGATTCGAATTGCTCTTTCAACGTTATCTCGGGGGTTGTAAAAGTTTCCAGAGCTGTATTCGTAAACGTATTGGGCGTAAGATAAATCATCGTAAGCTATTGCTACTAAAATATTGTTTTTTTCAAAGATTTCTTTTCTAATGTTTAACGCTTTACGATAATGAGTTACACTCGCTGTTATACAATCGGAGTTTAATAAATAAAAACCGTAGTCCATTAGGACATCAGAGTGACGAGGATGACCATCGATTTCAAACATTTTACTCGATAAACTCATCGCTTGTTTTATTAACAATTCAGCTTGGCGTAATTGGCGCTTTACAATACACGATTTTGAAGCAAAACGTAAAATATCGATTATTACTCTAAAAATAGAAAAAAAAATTAACTTTCAGGTTAATTGATGAGCATTAGTTCTTCTTCTCCAGTCTCTTTGTTAACAGTATTACTCCAGTAACTCATTATCTGTTGCTATTTTGCTATTACTTTGCCCTGTGGTGATGGGGTTGGATTAACAAAAATTCACAAATGAACCCAGAAAAGCCATGAATATGGATTTAAAGGATTTTATTCTTATTATGTTTGATATAATTCAAAAAACATCGTGTTGGCAAAAGACTAATTATTGCTAAAGTTGCCTACTGCTTCTAAAATGCTAGATATTGCAGAAAAAGACCACAACTTACTTGGAAAAGATTAGATGCTGTTTTTAAAATAATACCTATTGCTTACAGAACGTCAAACACTGTTCTTAAAGGTTTTGACCTACTTGGACAGGCGGAATACTGCTTCCAAGACTACTTATTGCTTTGAAAAACTTTAATAATCGTTTGGAAAAGAGATATGCTTTCCAAAAAGGTACCTACTGCTTCCAGAATGTTAGATACTGCTGGAAAAGATTACAATCTGCTTGTAGAAAACTAGATAGTGCTACCAAACAACTACAAACTGATTGGAAAGACGAGATACTGCCTCCATAAGACTACTTACTGCTTTCAGAGTGCTATATACTACTAGAAAAGATTAGGACATGTTTGGAGAAGACTAAATATTGCTAGAAGAAACTATTATCTGCTTGGAAAGACAAAATGCTGTTTCTAAAAGACTATTAACTAATTTCAGAATGCTAAATATTGTTGGAAAGATTACTAATTGCTTGTAGAAACCTAGATACTGTTGGCAAAAGACTAATTATTGTTATCAGAAGATTAAATACTGCTAGAAAAAGACTAAAAACTGCTTGGAAAGAAGAAATACTATTTCAAAAAGTTATCTTCTGCTTCTAAAATTCTAGATATTGCAGAAAAAGACTACAACTTACTTGAAAAAGATTAGATACTGTTTTCAAAATAATACCTATTGCTTCCAGGACGCTAAACACTGTAGGAAAAGGTTTTGACCTACTTGGACAGGCGGAATACTGCTTCCAAGACTATTGATTGCTTTGAAAGACTTTAATAATTGTTTGGAAAAGAGATATGCTTTCCAAAAAGGTACCTACTGCTTCCAGAATGTTAGATACTGCCGGAAAAGACTAATAACTACTTGGAAAGAAGAGATATGCTCTCCAAAAAAGGTACCTACTGCTTCTAAAATGGTGGAAAAGATTACAATCTGCTTGTAGAAGACTAGATAATGCTAACAAACAACTAAAAACTGATTGAAAAGACGAGATACTGCTTCCTAAAGACTACTTACTGCTTTCAGAGCGTTATATACTACTAGAAAAGATTAGGACCTGTTTGGAGAAGACTAAATATTGCTGGGAGAAGCTATTATCTGCTTGGAAAGATAAGATACTGTTTCCAAAAGACTATTAACTACTTTCAGAATGCTAAATATTGTTGGAAAGACAACTAATTACTTGTAGAAAGCTAGATACTGTTGGCAAAAGACTAATTATTGCTATCAGAAAATTAAAAACTGCTAGTAAAAAACTAAAAACTGCTTGGAAAGAAGAAACACTATCTCAAAAAGTTACCTACTGCTTCTAAAATGCTAGATATTGCAGAAACAGACCACAACTTACTTGGAAAAGATTACATGCTGTTTTTAAAATAATACCTATTGCTTCCAGAACGTTAAACACTGTTCTTAAAGGTTTTGACCTACTTGGACAGGCGGAATACTGCTTCCAAGACTACTTATTGCTTTGAAAGACTTTAATAATTGTTTGGAAAAGAGATATGCTTTCCAAAAAGGTACCTACTGCTTCCAGAATGTTGGATACTGCTGGAAAAGACTAATAACTACTTGGAAAGAAGAGATATGCTCTCCAAAAAAGGTACCTACTGCTTCTAAAATACTAGATATTGGTAGAAAAGATTAAAATCTGCTTATAGAAGACTAAATAGTGCTAACAAACAACTACAAACTGATTGAAAAGACGAGATACTGCTTCCATAAGACTATTTACTGCGTTCAAAGTGCTATATACTACTAGAAAATATTAGGACCTGCTTGGAGAAGACTAAATATTGCTGGGAGAAACTATTATCTGCTTGGAAAGACAAAATACTCTTTCCAAAAGACTATTAACTACTTTCAGAATGCTAAATATTGTTGGAAAGACTACTAATTGCTTGTAGAAAGCTAGATACTGTTGGCAAAAGACTAATTATTGCTATCAGAAGATTAAATATCTGCTTGGAAAGACAAAATACTGTTTCCAAAAGACTATTAACTACTTTCAGAATGCTAAATATTGTTGGAAAGACTACTAATTGCTTGTAGAAAGCTAGATACTGTTGGCAAAAGACTAATTATTGCTATCAGAAGATTAAATACTGCTAGAAGAAGACTAAAAACTGCTTGGAAAGAAGAAATATTATTTCAAAAAGTTATCTACTGCTTCTAAAATGCTAGATATTGCAGATAAAGACCATAACTTACTTAGAAAAGATTAGATACTGTTTTCAAAATAATACCTATTGCTTCCAGGACGTTAAACACTGTTAGAAAAGGTTTTGACCTACTTGAACAGGCGGAATACTGCGTCCAAGAATACTTATTGCTTTCAAAGACTTTGATAATTGTTTGGAAAATCGTTCCCGTAAAATCATATCTTTAGGTACTAAGGTCAGAAATGTTCGCGATTGAATAGTCATTTTTTAAAGAATAGAATCCTTATTAACCATGCTACTATAGAAATCACAAACCAAACAACAAAAGTGGTTAGTTTTCAGAAAAAAAAAATAGTTGGATCGAGTGAAGGTTGAAAGAATTTATGTCTATTAAGTTTGACACAGAATTTCTAAAAAAAAGAGTAGTACAGCACCCTTGGCAAGTAATTTTAAAAGATGGCCTGTTTAATCAAGTTTCCAAAATGGTACAACACTTCTCATTTTTTTTTTTCATAAAAAATACTATTGCTTGTTTTTCTGCAAAAAAAACACGTTATTTAGAAAATTCAGACTTTCGTATGCTATTTATATTTCCTCCGAAATAATTTTAGAACTTTGTAAGAAGGTGTGCACTCAATATATACAGAAAAATGTGGTTTCAACAAAATTTTCAAAAATATATCAAATACCATTTAACTAAGTGACATAAATTTTTTTTCTTATCTTTACCAGAACAGGTATGGGTTGGCTTCTCACCCAGCGCCCGCTTGACTTTGAGTTTCGAGACACCTGTATACTACTAGAAAAGATTAGGAAATGCTTGAAGAAGAATAAATATTGCTGGGAGAAACTATTATCTACATGGAAAGACAAAATACTGCTTTGAAAAGACTATTAACTACTTTCTGAATGCTAAATATTGTTGGAAAGACTACTAATTGCTTGTAGAAAGCTAGATACTGTTGGCAAAAGACTAATTATTGCTATCAAATGATTAAATACTGCTAGAAAAAGACTAAAAATTGTTCGGAAAGAAGAAATACTATTTCAAAAAGTTACCTACTGCTTCTAAAATGCTAGATATTGCAGAAAAAGACCACAACTTACAAAAGGCTACCTACTGTTTCTAGAATGTTAGATACTGCTGGAAAAGACTAATAACTACTTGGAAAGATGAGATATGCTTTCCAAAAAACGTACCTACTGCTTCCAAAATGCTAGATACTGGTAGAAAAGATTACAATCTGCTTGTAGAAGACTAGATGGTGCTAACACACAACTAAAAACTGATTGGAAAAACAAAATACTCTTTCCAAAAGACTATTAACTATTTTCAGAATGCTAAATATTGTTGGAACGACTACTAATTGCGTGTAGAAAGCTAGATACTGTTGGCAAAAGACTAATTATTGCTATCAGATGATTAAATACTGCTAGAAAAAGACTAAAAACTGTTCGGAAAGAAGAAATACTATTTCGAAAAGTTACCTACTGCTTCTAAAATGCTAGATATTGCAGAAAAAGACCACAACTTACAAAAGGCTACCTACTGTTTCTAGAATGTTAGATACTACTGGAAAAGACTAATAACTACTTGGAAAGATGAGATATGCTTTCCAAAAAACGTACCTACTGCTTCCAAAATGCTAGATACTGGTAGAAAAGATTACAATCTGCTTGTAGAAGACTAGATGGTGCTAACACACAACTAAAAACTGATTGGAAAAACAAAATACTCTTTCCAAAAGACTATTAACTATTTTCAGAATGCTAAATATTGTTGGAACGACTACTAATTGCGTGTAGAAAGCTAGATACTGTTGGCAAAAGACTAATTATTGCTATCAGATGATTAAATACTGCTAGAAAAAGACTAAAAACTGTTCGGAAAGAAGAAATACTATTTCGAAAAGTTACCTACTGCTTCTAAAATGCTAGATATTGCAGAAAAAGACCACAACTTACAAAAGGCTACCTACTGTTTCTAGAATGTTAGATACTACTGGAAAAGACTAATAACTACTTGGAAAGATGAGATATGCTTTCCAAAAAACGTACCTACTGCTTCCAAAATGCTAGATACTGGTAGAAAAGATTACAATCTGCTTGTAGAAGACTAGATGGTGCTAACACACAACTAAAAACTGATTGGAAAAACAAAATACTCTTTCCAAAAGACTATTAACTATTTTCAGAATGCTAAATATTGTTGGAACGACTACTAATTGCGTGTAGAAAGCTAGATACTGTTGGCAAAAGACTAATTATTGCTATCAGATGATTAAATACTGCTAGAAAAAGACTAAAAACTGTTCGGAAAGAAGAAATACTATTTCGAAAAGTTACCTACTGCTTCTAAAATGCTAGATATTGCAGAAAAAGACCACAACTTACAAAAGGCTACCTACTGTTTCTAGAATGTTAGATACTACTGGAAAAGACTAATAACTACTTGGAAAGATGAGATATGCTTTCCAAAAAACGTACCTACTGCTTCCAAAATGCTAGATACTGGTAGAAAAGATTACAATCTGCTTGTAGAAGACTAGATGGTGCTAACACACAACTAAAAACTGATTGGAAAAACAAAATACTCTTTCCAAAAGACTATTAACTATTTTCAGAATGCTAAATATTGTTGGAACGACTACTAATTGCGTGTAGAAAGCTAGATACTGTTGGCAAAAGACTAATTGTTGCTATCAGAAAATTAAATACTGCTAGAAAAATACTAAAAACAGCTTGGAATGAAGAATACTATTTCAAAAAGTTACCTACTGCTTCTAAAATGCTAGATATTGCAGAAACAGACCACAACTTACTTGGAAAAGATTACATGCTGTTTTTAAAATAATACCTATTGCTTCCAGAACGTTAAACACTGTTCTTAAAGGTTTTGACCTACTTGGACAGGCGGAATACTGCTTCCAAGACTACTTATTGCTTTGAAAGACTTTAATAATTGTTTGGAAAAGAGATATGCTTTCCAAAAAGCTACCTACTGCTTCCAGAATGTTAGATACTGCTGGAAAAGATTACAATCTGCTTGTAGAAAACTAGATAGTGCTACCAAACAACTACAAACTGATTGGAAAGACGAGATACTGCTTCCATAAGACTATTTACTGCTTTCAGAGTGCTATATACTACTAGAAAAGATTAGGACCTGCTTGGAGAAGACTAAATATTGCTGGGAGAAACTATTATCTGCTTGGAAAGACAAAATACTGTTTCCAAAAGACTATTAATTACTTTCAGAATGCTAAATATTGTTGGAAAAACTACTAATTGCTTGTAGAAAGCTAGATACTGTTGGTAAAAGACTAATTATTGCTATCAGAAGATTAAATACTGCTAGAAAAAGACTAAAAACTGTTTGGAAAGAGGAAATACTATTTCGAACAGTTACCTACTGCTTCTGAAATGCTAGATATTGCAGAAACAGACCACAACTTACTTGGAAAAGATTAGATGCTGTTTTTAAAATAATACCTATTGCTTCCAGAACGTTAAACACTGTTCTTAGAGGTTTTGACCTACTTGGACAGGCGGAATACTGCTTCCAAGACTACTTATTGCTTTCAAAGACTTTAATAATTGTTTGGAAAAGAGATATGCTTTCCAAAAAGGTACCTACTGCTTCCAGAATGTTAGATACTGCTGGAAAAGATTACAATCTGCTTGTAGAAAACTAGATAGTGCTACCAAACAACTAAAACTGATTGGAAAGACGAGATACTGCTTCCATAAGACTACTTACTGCTTTCAGAGTGCTATATACTACTAGAAAAGATTAAGACCTGCTTGGAGAAGACTAAATATTGCTGGGAGAAACTATCATCTGCTTGGAAAGACAAAGTACTGTTTCGAAAAGACTATTATTAACTACTTTCAGAATGCTAAATATTGTTGGAAAGACTACTAATTGCTTGTAGAAAGCTAGATACTGTTGGCAAAAGGCTAATTATTACTATCAGAAGATTAAATACTGCTAGAAAAAGACTAAAAACTGTTTGGAAAGAAGAAATACTATTTCAAAAAGTTACTTACTGCTTCTGAAATGCTAGATATTGCAGAAAAAGACCACAACTTACTTGGAAAAGATTAAATGCTGTTTTTAAAATAATACCTATTGCTTCCAGAACACTAAACATTGTTGTTAAAGGCTACAGTGTCTAGCACTACGGAACCAATAAGTTAAATCAAGTGATTTTTTGGTAAGTTTTACAATTTTCCGCACTTTTTTTTTTGATTTTTTCGATTAAATAAGAATTGTCGGTTTTTAAGCGACATGATGATTCTTGAATTATACTCAATTTTTATTCAATAAGTATAGGGGGCGATAAATAAAGCGGACCTAATAAAGTGGGCAATTCGTTCAAAAAGGTTGAGACTTGATAGGGGTCATAAAGATGCAGCGTTGCCAACCCTACCGATTTATCGATAGCTCTACCGATATAGAAGATAATGTACCGATATACCATTTAATCTACCGATTTTCAAAATTTTAACAAAGTATTATGAAACACATCGTACTTAAAATCAAAACAATTGCGACAAAAATTGTACCTTATGGGAATAGCCTACTTATATTGCATAAAAGTATATACCAACGATATGGCAATATCGCTCGAGCAATGTTGCCAGATCATTGGTACATACAATAGGCATCATAAGTAAACCTAATAAATATTGCGAAAATAGATATTGACACATCTCAGAGCAAAAGTGCAAGAGAGCAATATTGTTAACAATAAAATTTGCAACAATTTTTGTTATAAAAGTTTTCTTATAGCAAGCTCCGATTCTCAAGTGTTTCCTTTAATAACTTAAAAAAGCTACAGATATCTCGATATTGACGTATCTAAGAGCAAAAGTGTAAGAGAACAATATTGTTAACAATAAAATTTGTAACAATTTTTGTTATAAAAGTTTTCTTATAGCAAGTTCCGATTCCCAAGTGTTACCCTTAATAACTTGAAAAAGCAATAAATTCATCAAATTTTCACATTTTCGTATCTATCTCGATATTGACGTATCTAAGAGTAAAAGTACAAGAGAGCAATATTGTTAACAATAAAATTTGTAACAATTTTTGTTATAAAAGTTTTCTTATAGCAAGCTCCGATTCTCAAGTGTTACCTTTAATAACTTGAAAAAGCAATAAATTCATCAAATTTTCATATTTTCGTATCTATTTCGATATTGACGTATCTAAGAGCAAAAGTGCAAGAGAGCAATATTGTTAAGAATAAAATTTGCTACAACTTTTGGTATAAAAGTTTTCTTATAGCAAGCTCCGATTCTAATGTGTTACATTTAATAACTTGAAAAAACAATAAATTCATCAAATTTTCATATTTTTATATCTATTTCGATATTGACGCATGTAAGAGCAAAAGTGCAAGAGAGCAATATTGTTAACAATAAAGTTTGTAACAATTTTTGTTATAAAAGTTTTCTTATAACAAGTTCCGATTCTCAAGTGTTACCTTTAATAACTTGAAAAAGCAAAGAATTCATCAGATTTTCATATTTTCGTATTTATCTCGATATTGACGCATCTAAGAGCAAAAGTGCAAGAGAGTAATATTGTTAAGAATAAAATTTGCTACAACTTTTGGTATAAAAGTTTTCTTGTAGCAAGGTCCGATTTTAAAGTGTTACCTTTAATAACATGAACGCGCAACAAATTCATAAAATTTTCATATTTTCGTATCTATCTCGATATTGACGCATCTAAGAGCAAAAGTAGAAGAGAGTAATATTGTTAACAATAAAATTTGCTACAATTCTTGTTATAAAAGTTTTTTTATAGCAAGCTCTCATTCCCAAGTGTTACCTTTAATAATTTGAAAAAGCAATAAATTCATAAAATTTTCATATTTTCGTATCTATCTTGATATTGACGTATCTCAGAGCAAAAGTGCAAGAGAGCAATATTGTTAACAATAAAATTTGTATCAATTTTTGTTATAAAAGTTTTCTTATAGCAAGCTTCGATTCTAAAGAGTTTCCTTTAATAACTTAAAAACCTACAGATTTATCAAATTTTCACATTTTCGTATCTATCTCGATATTGATGTATCTAAGAGCAAAAGTGCAAGAGAACAATATTGTTAACAATAAAATTTGCAACAATTTTTGTTATAAAAGATTTCCTATAGTATGCTCCGATTCCCAAGTATTACCTTTAATAAGTTGAAAAAGAAATAAATTCATCAAATTTTCATATTTTTGTATCTATCTCGATATTGACGCATCTAAGAGCAAAAGTACAAGAGAGCAATATTGTTAACAATAAAATTTGCTACAATTTTTGTTATATAAGTTTTCTTATAGCAAGCTCCGATTCTCAAGTGTTACCTTTAATAACTTGAAGCAGCAACAAATTCATAACATTTTCATATTATCGTATCTATCTCGATATTGACGCATCTAAGAGTAAAAGTGTAAGAGAGCAATATTGTTAACAATAAAATTTGCTACAATTTTTGTTATAAAAGTTTTCTTATATCTAGCTCCGATTCTTAATAACTTGAAAAAGCAATAAATTCATCAAATTTTCATATTTTTGTATCTATCTCGATATTGACGTATCTAAGAGCAAAAGTGCAAGAGAGCAATATTGTTAAGAATAAAATTTGCTACAATTTTTGTTATAAAAGTTCTCTTATAGCATGCTCCGATTCCTAATGGTTACCTTTAATAACTTGAAGGAGCAACAAATTCATAAAATTTTCATATTTTACTTGATATTGACCCATCTATAATTCATTCCTATATAGATTCATTTATTAACTTTTACCAAACAACATTTTCTGACTTTGTATTTAAACCTTTCGATTCTACTAACATTTGGTGGGCATAGGTTGGCAACGCTGTTAAGATGTACATAAAAGCAACTCATGTGTGTATTCAATGTAAAAGAACTCCAAAGAGTTAATACTCAATAAACATATAATATATTCATAATTATGTGACTCAATATTATAACAGTATCCCGCCTTATGAACTCATTTTTAAATTCAACCAATCTATATTCCATTTAGATTATCTATATAAGTTATATAGATAATCTTATACAACTCTATATCTTACCACAGGGCAAATTATATTTACTATTTATTCACTAATAGCTAGAACATGATTTTGAGGTTAAGTTTTTGATGTTAATTAATTATTTGAGGTTAAATTTTTGACATTAAAATTTTGACGTTTATTATTTGAGGTTAAGTTTGATATTTACCGTTTTGGGACATCTTTATTTAAATTTTGGACTGCTTTTCTCGACCAAATATAAGCCTGATCATACTCGCTTTTCTGAAAATACATAGCTGCAAAAACTCCATACATTCCAGCTAAATTTGGTAAGTTATTACTCGATTTTAAATCCTCCAAAATACCCATGATCTCATCAAAAGTAGATTGAGTGTTTGTTAAAGAATAATAACTTTCAACATAGAGTCTTCTACAAAAAACAAACTTTAATATCAACAAATTGATTGGAAAATGTGGGATTTTTACATGTACAAACAATTTAATAACAACAAAGAGATGTTAGTTGATTTTTCTGTTGATTTGCAAAGTTCATCGACGATGTTTAACACATAAAGAGATCCAAAAAACCATCCCCCTTCTTTAAAAAACGTCCCCACCCTCAATCCAAATTGGATACATTTAACTCGATCAAAAAGGGAGTCTTTTGCTAACCCAGAAGCTAATTTTTGGTAACATGTAACAATATTATTGATCATTCCAGGACAGTGATCTATTAACATTTGAAAATTTTTCAATAAACTCCTCCTTTTATGTCTCATCCTTAACATTCGTTGGAGTATATCCAAGTTATTAAACTCGTTGACAAGAATACAAAGCCTCTTCTCCACAAACATCTTAAAAAAAAAACAAAAAATTAACCCCCTTATAAACAAATAACAACAAATAAACTCACCCTTTCATAAAAATCAAATAGGGCATTATCAGGAAGCTCTCGAAAAGCTTTTTTGCAAAACTTACAATTTGAGCAATCATTAACAGCAGCTTGTACAGCCAATGTATATAAAGTTGGGACCTCTTGGGCCATTCTAAAAACGCCTTACTAATAAACGAAAGTAAAATTATCGTTGTAAACACCACATTGAGAAGAAACAGCTGATCTTTTCAGCCTCCGACCGTTCGCATATGTTATCTCATAAAAGATAAAACACTTCACGTTTTCCTCACGATTTATTTTCGATGCGAACTCGAGGATTAACCGCGATTATTAAGGTGACGACGACCGCAACGAAAATCTTTAAAAAGTTATTTTTGGATTGTGTACAATTCAAGTTAAAACGTCAAAGTGACAGCTATTGTTGTGATGAGTTAACCTATTTTTTTTTGTACTTGAGGTTAAAAACATGATAATCTTGGGAATAACAATGATATTAAAGACCTTTAACCTTTACGTTTTGACGTAAAAAGTTATTTTTAATTTGATTGGATTTAAATTATAATTAATTTAATTAATGTTTGTTATTGGGCGACAACTAAAATTGACACTATGTAATGTTGGTTGCCTATGTGTACTTTTTTAAATTTTAATTAATTATTTATATTTATAAATATTGTTTCTAAATATGATGATTAATCTCTTTTACATATTATTATTTATATTCTTGTTCATTATTTTATTTTTGTAATTTTTACTTTCTCGCCTCTCTCAATTTGACGTTTTTTGAAAACGAATGTCATAAAAAAGCTTTTTTCGATAAAATCATTAGGAATTGAGAAATGAAACTTATTAAAGTTAAAGATGAATATTTGAGGTTGGGTTGTGCCAAATTTGAAGTTTCCAAGTTGAACGGTTTTTCTATAATAAAATGTTTAAATCGCCGATCTCAATTTGACGTTTTTTGGAAATGAATGTCATAAAGAATTTTTATCTCCAAAATGATTAGGAATTGAGAAATGAAACTTTTTGAGGTTATTGATGAATATTTGAGGTTGAATTGTGCCAAAATTTAAGTTTCCAAGTTGAACGGTTTTTCTATAATAAAATGTTTAAATCGCCGATCTCAATTTGACGTTTTCTAAAAATGAATGTCATAAAGAATTTGTATCTCCAAAATGATTAGGAATTGAGAAATGAAACTTTTTGAGGTTATTGATGAACATTTGAGATTGGGTTGTGCCAAATTTCAAGTTTGGAAGTTGAACGGCTTTTTTATAACAAAGTTTTTAATCTCAAATTTCAATTTGTCGTTTTTTGAAAATGAATGCCATAGAAAATTTGTATCTCCAAAACGATTAGGATTTGAGAAATGAAACTTTTTGAGGTTATTGATGTATATTTGAGGTTGGGTTGTGCCAAATTTAAACTTTCCAAGTTGAACGGTTTTTCTATAATGAAATGTTTAAATCGCCGTTCTCAATTTGACGTTTTTTGATAATAAATGTCTTAAAGAATTTGTATCTCCAAAATGATTAGGAATTGAGAAATGAAACTTTTTAAGATTATTGATGAACATTTGACGTTGGGTTGTACCAAATTTTAAGTTTCCAGGGTGAACGGTTTTTCTATAATAAAATGTTTTAAATCACCGATCTCAATTTGACGTTTTTTGATAATAAATGTCTTAAAGAATTTGTTTCTCCAAAATGATTAGGAATTGAGAAATGAAACTTTTTGAGGTTATTCATGAATATTTGAGGTTGGATTGTGCCAAATTCTAAGTTTCTGAGTTGAACGGTTTTTCTATAATAAAATGTTTAAATCGCCGATCTCAATTTGACGTTTTTTGAAAATGAATGTCATAAAGAATTTGTATCTCCAAAATGATTAGGAATTGAGAAATGAAACTTTTTGAGGTTATTGGTGAATATTTGAGGTTGAATTGTGCCAAATTTTAAGTTTCCAGGTTGAACGGTTATTCTATAATAAAATGTTTAAATCGACTATCTCAATTTGACGTTTTTTGAAAATGAAAGTCATAAAACATTTGTATCTCCAAAATGATTAGGAATTGAGAAATGAAACTTTTTGAGGTTATTGATGAACATTTGAGGTTGGGTTGTACCAAATTTTAAGTTTCCAAGTTGAGCGGTTTTTCTATAATAAAATGTTTAAATCGCCGATCTCAATTTGACGTTTTTTGAAAATGAATGTCATAAAGAATTTGTATCTCCAAAATGATTAGGAATTGAGAAATGAAACTTTTTGAGGTTATTGATGAACATTTGAGGTTGAATTGTGCCAAATTTTAAGTTTCCAGGGTGAACGGTTTTTCTATAATAAAATTTTAAAATCGCTGATCTTCATTTGACGTTTTTTGAAAATGAATGTCATAAAAAATTTGTATCTCCAAAATGATTATGAATTGAGAAATGAAACTTTTTGAGGTTATTGATGAACATTTGAGATTGGGTTGTGCCAAATTTTAAGTTTCCAGATTGAACGGTTTTTCTATAATAAAATGTTGAAATCGCCGATCTGAATTGGACGTTTTTTGATAATGAATGTCATAAAGAAGTTGTATCTCCAAAATGATTAGGAATTGAGAAATGAAACTTTTTGAGGTTATTGATGAACATTTGAGATTGGGTTGTGCTAAATTTTAAGTTTCCAGGTTGAACGGTTTTTCTATAATAAAATGTTTAAATCGCCGATCTCAATTTGACGTTTTTTGAAAATGAATGTCATAAAGAATTTGTATCTTCAAAATGATTAGGAATTGAGAAATGAAACTTTTTGAGGTTATTGATGAACATTTGAGGTTGGGTTGTGCCAAATTTTAAGTTTCCAAGTTGAACGGTTTTTCTATAATAAAATGTTTAAATCGCAGATCTCAATTTGACGTTTTTTGATAATAAATGTCATAAAGAATTTGTATCTCCAAAATGATTAGGAATTGAGAAATGAAACTTTTTGAAGTTAAAGATGAACATTTGAGGTTGGGTTGTGCCAAATTTTAAGTTTCCAGATTGAACGGTTTTTCTATAATAAAATGTTGAAATCGCCGATCTCAATTTGACGTTTTTTGATAATGAATGTCATAAAGAAGTTGTATCTCCAAAATGATTAGGAATTGAGAAATGAAACTTTTTGAGGTTATTGATGAACATTTGAGATTGGGTTGTGCCAAATTTTAAGTTTCCAGATTGAACGGTTTTTCTATAATAAAATGTTGAAATCGCCGATCTGAATTGGACGTTTTTTGATAATGAATGTCATAAAGAAGTTGTATCTCCAAAATGATTAGGAATTGAGAAATGAAACTTTTTGAGGTTATAGATGAATATTTGAGATTGGGTTGTGCCAAATTTTAAGTTTCCAGGTTGAACGGTTTTTCTATAATAAAATGTTTAAATCGCCTATCTCAATTTGACGTTTTTTGAAAATGAATGTCATAAAGAATTTGTATCTCCAAAACGATTATGAATTAAGAAATGAAACTTTTTGACGTTATAAATGATTATTTGGGGTTTAATTGTCCGAAATTTCGAGTTTCCTAGATCAACGGTTTTTTAAATAAAATTTTTTAAACCCAATTAATTTTTTTGTCTTCGCTTTTTTTAGTTCTAATTTTTAAATTCCCATTTATCATAATACAGCACACAACCTCGTCTAAGTAGTGTTTAAAACGGTACATAAAAGGAGAAAATTGTGCTACTTCTTCGATCCGGGTCACTCTCTTCTTCGCAAAACCTCTTCCTTCTTACATTTCCATTTTGCATTTCACAACGTTACGTAAATCATTTAAATACACATAAATCGTTGAAACAAATCGAGCCATGTTTAGTTTGGTGATTTTAGTGACAATCTTAATATATTCCGCGATAATCGTCGATTTAGCCCCAATTTCCGATTTCGATATTTGGGCTGATGAAAACGAAGTCGTTTTAAACAAAACCGGGAACGTTCGGAATTCAAAAGTTTTAAATTTTATCCCGATCCCGGTTGAAGAAGAATGTTTATCGACTGATGGGCGACGAAAAGGTGTTTGTATGAACACTTATGAGTGTAGGATTCAAGGTGGAAAATCCCACGGGTTTTGCGCGATGGGTTTCGGGGTTTGTTGCGTTTGTAAAACATAAATTAATTTTAATTATTTAAATTTAATTTTTTGATGTTTTAGTTACCGCAACTTGCGATCAAGATGTTTTTAACAACATAACTTATTTCGTTAACCCTCATTTTCCCGATTTAGACATCGACATGTCACTATGTTTATTAAAAATTAAAAAAATCGACCAAGAAATCTCTCAAATTCGCTTAGATTTCGTTCATTTCAATTTGGGACAACCCAATCGAAAAACTGGAATTTGCGAAGACGACGTTTTATTAATTTCCGGTGGAAGTTCGAATAATTTAAGCATTTGCGGCTACAACAGCGATCAACACGTTTATTTCGACGTCGATAACATTGACGAACCCATCACAATGTCGATGAATCTTAGCAAAAAAGTGGCGAAACGATTTTGGGAAATTCGAGTGACTCAAATTCCTTTCTCACAAAGAGCTCCGTTAAGTTGTCTTCAATACCACACCGGGTTAACCGGAACGATTCAAACGATGAATTTCGCCGAAAACGGCAGACATTTAGCGAATCAAGACTACAACATTTGTATTCGACAAGAAAAACGTATGTGTAGTATAATTTACGAGCCTTGCGATGAGAATTCGTTTCGAATTTCGTCGAATAATCGACAAGGATCAGTAGCACAAATGGAGGTGACTCAAAATAATCAACTATTTGGGAATCAAAATCAATCAATTAATGTAAACAACGATGAAATCGAAGGATCTGGTGGTGATTTTGATGTTGGGGAAGCTCGAAATATGGATTTATGTGTTGATAAGATAATTATGCCGTGTGGTTCTGATGATTTTTTGATGGTATTTGTTGTATAAAATTGTAAGGTTAGGAAAATCATGAAACATTTTTTAGCCTGGTGATATATCGAAGGAATTTTGTTCGATTTCACGATGTGGGTCATCTTTATGTCCGAAAGGTGAGAATCCGTGTAAAATTGAAACGACGGTTACCCCATTTTCGATTGGGGTTCATTTTGGGCCTAGTTCGAGGGATAATTCATCGCCTGATGATAATTTGGGGATGTGTTTAGTTTATAAACAAATAGAATGTGTTAATTAAGAACGATTTTTAGTGATGTTTTAGGAAATAAAGAAAAAAGTATTTATTTATTCATTCTTGATTGATTAAATAGGGTCTGTTCCAATTTTTCCAAAAACTATCTCTTTAAAATAATTTTCTTGTTTGTATAGTTCTTATCGTTCCAGAGTTAATAGAGATGCTTGACATGAAAAGATAATTAATAACTAATTAGTGTCTAATTGTCAACTAAGTTATTTTGTCAAATCCGGGTGGAGAAGGC